ACTCTGAAATGAGTTGAGTAAAATTGAACGCAGTGCACTTGCCAACCGTAGAAGGGGGCTGAGGTGCTAGGCAGACACCTTGTTTTAATAAGATGGGAGAACAGAGGGAAAGTGCAAGTTAATCTGTCCCTCGTGACTACCAATGGGACACCATGCACCGCTGGCCAGGGCAGACAGCTCCAAGGAGCATGTAGCCCATGCACATTGTGCAAGTCACACTACACTAGTGGTTCTCAACCTGCAGGCCACTTGCAGCCCACTCAGCACACAGCTGCAGCCATTGTGACATCCACAGGGCCACAGAGGTAGTACTGCATGCAGACCACAATGGTAAATAGGTTGAGAACCACTGCACTACACAAACACACAGGCCTACAACTCTTGTACAGGCACTGGGTCAGCAGACAAGAGGGATTTACCAGAAGGTGGCGAGAGTTCAAAGGGGGGAATGCGGAGTCTCCCATTTACCCAAAGTTATTTCCTCATCCTCGTTGTGCATTGAAACTGTATGGTGATGACAACGCACCAAAAGCCACCTTCCCCCTCCTAGACGTGAGAACCTGCCACCACAAGCTGGTGCTCTGTATTCCATTCAGATCGCTCTTCGTTAGCTCGGCACAGAAATCGGAGCTGCTACTCAGACAGAAAGCCTCCATCCCATAATAAACAGCATGAACTATTTATAAACCTGAAAATGTCTTTATTATTATTATTTTTCCCCCAGAAAAATCTTACACAATACTGTTAACTACACCCCACCAAGGACTCGCAGGTCTGCAGCGCTGGTATCGCTTCCTCAGGCAGTGCCCAGTGGAACAGATGGCAGCGTGGGCGTTAGGTACCAGCCTCCTGGCAATATGAACATCTGTTACCGTTAGAAAATGCTAATTGCCGTCAATCAGGACAGCACCTACCCACATTTACATGCAAGCACAAAAAAATTACGCCTAAATTTCTCTGAGCACAACACTCACTGCATGCTAAGTAACTGGAGCAACTCAGATGCTGCAAGCCAGCCTGTTATGAGTGGCTACAGTTCAGATGTACCACGCCCAGGCTGGACTTACCCAGCTTACCCAGTGCAATGCAAATGGCTTGAGAGCTAGAAAGGAATGGTAGTCTCTTGCTCCCCTTTCCTCCTTCTGTATTTCTGGGATTTGAAATCACAACACCAACTGGCCCCACTCTTTCATTTCCAGTGCAAGCAGGAGCCATGTCTCTTTAAATTTCAGCATCCGGTGCACATCAGAGGAACGAATCCTGCTAAAATGCAGATTGAGGGAAGACACTAAAGCTTCTCTACAAGCTCTTCAGGAGAACTGGGTATTCCTCTGTTGTCTGATTAAAACCCCCCTCTGCAGCTTCCCCCCACCTGGCAATGGGCAGGGGCACATTCCTATTAGAACTTACACCCCCTCGTGCCAATTTGGTCCAGGAACTCTAAGACGTTTATTGTTGGTGTGGTTCTCTCCCTCCCCACACCAACTCCTTTTGGTTAAAAAATCAGATTTTTCCAACACGACTCTGCAACACAAGTTCAAGCTACCTCAGAAGCGCTCTATTGCCTACTGCCAAGGGGTCCCAGGGAATGATGTCTAGTATGCCATATCTTTGAGTGCAAGATCTTTGGGGCAGGGACCATTTCATATTCTATGTTCAATAGAGAGTCAAGCACATTGTTGGCACTCAGATAATAATGGCCCTAGATATTTTTATGCAACTCAATCCTGACCTTTGGCAACCCCTGCTTTTCCAGGCTTATTAGATCTCCAAACACCTTCGGCTAATCCTCCATAGTCCTTCCCTGCAGTACCTCTTGCTATTGTAAAGCAGAGTGTCCTCAGCAGAGGCTGACAAAAACTCTCCAAAGCCTCTAAAAAGGGGGGCACTTGTACTAATGGGTTTGGGTCAACGGTGTATAACATCGAGATGATCTATTTCATTTGAGAGTTATTGGAATATAGAGCACTCACCCCTAGTCCTGCTCCTTCTACATTATCCACAATATAGGAACAAGGAGACTCAGCAAAATGTTACTATATCTCCAGAGAGCACACATAAGAACATAATGGCCCACTGGGTCAGAGCAAAGGTCCATCCAGCCCAGTGTCCTGTCTTCTAACAGTGGCCAGTGCCAGGTGCCCCAGAGGGAATGAACAGAACAGAATCCATCCCCTGTTGCCCATTCCCAGCTTCTGGCAAAGCATATCAAAGAACAAAAATGGCACCAACATGATTTATCAGCTCTGTCCCCAGAAGTTATATTAAGGGTCATATCTGACCTAATACTCTGTAATGTGGGAGGGGCCTTAGCTCTGCTAGCAGCTGTGGGAACCCTACAGAGAACTGCAGCTGAACTCTTGCCGGCTCACTGGAGCAGGTGTGGCACATCGGACTCCATCAGGAACATAAGGAGGTGGAAGTAGTCCTTTGGCCAAAGGAGCTAGGATTTGAGGCAGACAGCTTCTCAGGGAAGGAACCCAAGGCACAGCCACACCTAAGGAAAAGGCTTATGCAAGGCAAGGGGGCAGATTTTAGGTGTTTGCTTGGAAGTAGCTTTCTGCAAGCCAGATCTCAGGAAGGGTAATGCCTGGAGTGTACAGTAAGTGTGCAGCATTCATCTGGAGCTGAAAGGGGACCCCACCACCTTAAAATATGAAATAGCAGCATCCTCTGCATTTGCCTAGGACAGGGTATCAGCTATCAATCTGTGATCAAACCCATGCTCTAGTCTGGAATACTCCACCACCACCACCTTTGAGCAGCACTGGCTGGTCCCAGACTTAGCGTGCTCTTGCGCAGGCAGACATGTGTATGTTCCGGAGTGAAGTGAGTTAGTTCAGTCCACTTGTACCATTTGGTGAGCACACTTGGTTGTGGAAACCACACAGGCCCCAATTTACCTGGTGTCACTAACTCCAGCCCAAGGGATCAACAATTCAGTAAAAAAAAATCCAGCTCCCCCATGAGGCCTATAAGGGGATGTCTACACAGCAGAGAAAAACCCCACAGCTGGCCCAGGCCAGCTGACTTGGGCTTGTGGGGCTGTTTCATTGCTATGTAGACTTCTGGGCTTGGTCTGGAGCCCGGGCTCTGGGACCCTCCCACCTCACAGGGTGGACATACCCTTAGACACAGGAGTCAGCCCTGCCTCTGAGTTTCTGTAAACTCGTCAGGGCAGGGACTTGTTATTGTGGACTTTGCACAGTGCCAAATACCTTTCCCGGTGCGAAACAAGCATCACACGATAGTCACAGCATTAGCTTTTTGAAGACATCATAAACAAGTTACTTTGAAAGTTATCGGTGTTAAAATAGCTTACAAAATAGCTCATCTGGTAAGAAATTTACAAGTTAAAGCATCAGCAATCCCCTTCACACCATTACTGGGTGACCATGGAACTATAACCCACCTGTCAGCACTGGCTCCTGCTCCCAGTCCATGGGATCTCTCACCCCAAAGAGCAGAGGAGCTCTGGGTCTCCCGGGCAAAACAGATCCATGCTGCACAAGTCTTACAGCGCACGCCTACTGCTGAGGAAACACTGTCACTCCCTTGAGCCTTTGCGCAACCATGGCCTCACCTGCTACCGCACCGTGCACCATGTCCACATCGCCATCCACCACACACCCTAATTTCCAGCAGGAAAACAATGTGAAGCAGCTTCCACTCCCCATGCGGGGTTCAAGGGCTTACATGTCAGATCTCAGTGACTCCTGTTCTCTTGCCCCGCCCCTGGGATAACTGGTGAAACGGCGCGTGCCGAGTTCACACTGCTGTCCGAGTACGCCGGGCAGAGCGAGATGTGGCCCCTTCTCTCCCGACACTGCGGAGGCTGCAGAGATCCCCCCCTCTCTCTTCACCTGCATTTCCAGGAGCAAATCCCTCCACTTCTGGGGCAAAGAATCGCTCCTGTCGCCACGGGGTTGTGGAAGGGGGTGCAAGGGTACCCTCCCCGCAGGTGCTGAGGGGGCCGAAGGAGAATACCACTCTCTCTTCCAGCAGGCTCTAGACCCCTCCCCATCCATTTCCTGGAGGCCGGGGCTCTCTCTGCCCCCTGCTCACGGGCCCGCTGGTTCGCCCTGGCTTCCCCCACGCATCTGCCCTTGTCTCTGACGCTACCCCTCCCCCAAACTGGGCCAGGGCTGAGGCTCCCCTCCCCCCCGCTCTGACCAACTGCCACTTCCAACTGCCACGGAACCTTCAGGTGCCAACGTTCCACCTGCCGCAGTGCCGCTCCCGAGCTGATCCAGGAGAGGGGCGAGGAAGGGGGCTTAAAACGCGTATCTGCTCCCAAGCCATCACTCCTCCCTGCATCCTTCTGCTCTCGTCACGTCACTGGAACTCCCTAGCCAGGCTTGCGCGCCGCACAGGAGAGAAGTGCCTTCACAATGAGCCCCCCGGCTCAGAGGGGTGGGTTATCAGGACAGCGGGGCACCATCTCACTCGAGCCGTTGCACTTCCCCAGCAGGATGCTGGCGCTGTACAAGTGGGAGGTGATAGTAACCCTCGCAGCCCTATATGGCACTGGGAATTCATGCTTCCCCATGCTTCAAACGCTGGTCAGACAGAGGCGCCGCTATCGGAGAGCCAGTTCCTGTCTGGTGCGAAGCAAGTAGGGACCTTATTCTAGTTCCCAGTGCACAAGGGTCCTCTCCACAAAAGCTGTCAGCACAGTCAGCATTAGCCAGGCAGGGCCAACATGCACTGGCAGGGAGCAGTTTGCCCAGCCATTGCCAGCACTGTCCTGCTCTGGGGACAGACCAGGTGGGTGTACCCTGGTCTTCAGGGCCCTCCGCCTGGTACCACAGAAGGGTGCTTTTTTAAGAAAATGAAGTTACAGAGGGATATATATATATATTTTTTAAATCTTCGCAACTGATTCAGAGCCTGGCTCTGCCCACCTGACTCACAAACCTGCTCCTTTGGCTCTGGTGAGACAGCTCATGTGAGCAAGGAAACATGGGCCAGTGCTTGCAGCTGCCATAATCTTAACTTACCTCTTCATCACTCCCTTCACTTGGGGCTTCCAGCTCAGCTAGCCGCACCACCCCGTGGAATCCACCGCGCCAGTTCAATGAGGTCACGTCCCACGGTGATGTCTTGCCCAATCATACACACTGCAGAAGCACCATCTCTAGCCTTTAGAGAAAGCCCAGTCTGGCCCAGAACTTCTCCTGAGAGAGAGAGAGATTGCCCCACAGGCTGGGGAAGTGGTGGTACAATGTTTGGGAGCTCTCAAGACATTTCCAAGAAGACCCTAAGCACACATGCATTATCTGGCTCTCATTATAGAACTGTAACATGTTGGGGGAGGCAGGTAAACACAATATATAGTTCATTCCCTTGTAACCATTACGTAATGGTTACCGGGCTTTGGCTCCTTCCCCTGGTCCACCCCACATCCCTCCTCAGGATTGGTTTCCTGACTAACTCCCACTGGTAAGAGCAGGTTGTAGCACGACGGCTTCCTGCTGCTCCAACCATTACTCAGCAAGTGAGGGAATCACTCCGTGCTCCAAGGTCACTCAAAAACACCATCTGTCCATGCACTGCATGCCGCTCCCCCAGAGAGTGTGCGAGAGAGAAATTATTCCAATACGCTGAAGGCCACCCTCCCCTTTCCCCCACCCTCCATTCTAGAGGCAGCCAACACAAAGTCAGTCCAACTGCAGTTACAGAGTGCTAGCTTGGTCCGGACTGGGGAGAGCCTGTGGATCTTGACACCAAGATAGCTGGTGAGCCTAAGGCAGCTACAACATCCCCTGGCCAATCTGCAACTCCCCATATAGCCCTCTGGCACTAGGTGTGCTGAGATCCCCCCCCTCCTATATCATCACCCAATTACAAAGTCGGAAGAAATAACAGTCCTCTGGCCCTGGGACAGGGCAGGTGCTACTCTCTGTGCTCATGAAGGAGAGTGCACAGTCTCGCCTCCTCACGCCCACCCTGAGAGCCTCCCCTCCAGCCCCTGCTGCTTCCAGGCAAAGGATAAACACAGGAGCCTCCACCCGACAAAGTCCCAAGACATCAAACAAAGGGGATGGAAAACCCCCTTTTACCATGCAGCTGAGCATAGCCCCAAGGAGCAGAGAGAGGCTCTTCGGGTACGTCTACACTGCAATGTAAACCCAGGGTTATTTGGACTCAAGTGAGCTCACTTTGCAAAAGGCTTGATTGGTTCGCTCTCCATTGCAAACCCAGGAGGCTCTCTGACTGTGTACTTGCAGACTGGTGATCAGAACAGAATGGGTTAATACAGACCTGAGCTGCTGCCGTTTGCAAAGTGGGGGTGGCTTCTGTTTTCAATAGAGCAGATCGCAGATTGTTGGGCTAGAGAGGACTAAGGAAATTGTCCCGTGGAATTGTGGGATACTTCCAGATGACTCCCGGGACCCGTGTCAAGCGGGGCTGCATCTACACTGCAAAGCAGTAGGGCTTGGACCTTGAGTCCTGGCTTAACTCGAGCTCAGAGCCTCCAGCCCTGCAGAGTCCTGGGATCTTGGGTCCGAGCCCTGGGTTAGCACAATTGCAGTGTAGACACAAGGGGGTTAGGCTCAAGCCCAGACTTATATTTCAGTGTAGATATACCCACAGTGTGCACAGCAGCTAGCCACCCCAACTCTAGAAGCAACAGCCCACCCACAGAGGCAGTCCAGGCCCACTGTTGTGCTGGAGAGACCACCTCATTGACATCAACACATGCCCCCTACCCACACCCTTGCCCAAAAGGAAGCACATTTGGTTGACAAACAACACTCTAGGAGAAGTGTTTCAAGTGAGCAGAGCTGCTGGGACGCAGACAGGCTGCCTCTAAATATGAATGCTCCAGCCAGACAGGTGCTGGGAAAAGCTCCAGGCCAAGAGGGGAGGGCAAGCATCTTGTTCAGACCCATCCTTTAGCTCTTGCCATGAGCGTTACACATTGCCAAAGACAAAATACATTCACAAAAGCCAAAATTCTGGCTCTCATGCACAGCCCGCTCCGCCAGGCTGGGGAGGGAGGAATGCCCCCCGAAACAGCCGAGTGAAACAGTGCCCTGCAGCCACCACTCTACTCTCCAGCCTCCTGCACAACCCCATTCGCAGGGGCAACGGAGCAGCCTTGCGGGATACACTGGCCCTGCCCTGTCCATCCCCAACTCTGAAACGCACCCCTCCCCCTGCACAAACCATGGTCAAAAGGCCCTTCAGAGCCACAGAGGGGGGGCAGGAATGACCTCAGACATCATGCCCACTCCACACGTATTATTTATAAGTCAACTCACACCCAAAGCAAGCCACAGCGTGAGCTCCCATGGCGTCCTGACCATTCACAGACACCACAGGAGCAGCATCTCTGGCCATGCTGCCTCAGCATTGCCCCCAGGCAGAAACACATTTCCGGACAGGCCAGGGAAGTGGGATATTTATGGGGAGTTGTAGTCACCTGCACCCTGAAATGGGTATTAATCCATATTCACCATTCCTGGGTTGCCATATGTATATCCAAGGATATCGCAATGAGAAACCCATTTTTAACAAAGCCTTGCACACAGCACCTCTTTGCCCCATTTGCACCCACATAGCCACTAGCTGCCCACCCCCTACCATTCCTGTTCTCTTGGCCAGGACACAAACCTTTCAGGCTGGGTTGCTTTAGGTTCTTCTAAACTAACAATTTGAGTTCAAGCCAGTTCTGAACAAAGAGATGGCAAACTGTGACCTCAGAGATAACTCAGTCAAGAAATAAGCGTTTGACTTTGGTTTAGTTGCCATCTTATTGAGGGAAGTTCTTCAAGAGTGCCTAATGGATTTAGGAGCACACATACCATTTAAAGCCAACGGGATGTGTAGCTATTCAGAAATGTTCAACGTCTCCCAAAAAGCCCTACTCTCACGTGTCGCGGTTGTGAAGTACACCTTCTGATGAGAGAACCAGCAGCGCTAGCTATTCTTTGTGAGCAGTAGTAATAATCAGTTCTTAGCACTTTTCATCCAGAGATCACCACACTATTCTCCCCATTGTACACAGAGGGAAAGCGATATGCCCAAGGAGACATGGTGAATCAGTACTAGAGGTGAGAACAGAACCCAGGAGTCCTGTGTCTTATCCAGTGGAACAGAGTGCTTTGGCAACGCTAGGGCAAGGGATTCTCCCATCTCTGTGTCCTGCACAGGTCTGTGGTGCCCTGAATATTCCTAGCCCAGGAATCCTGCACCGGCACCCCAGCCCATGGACTCGCCTTTGTGGTCCCATTGTTGTGTTGCGAGATTGTTTCCATACAGGAGCAGCCAGCAGAGCCGCCAGCTCCCAGCTCTAGTGCTTAACGCTACATCTGGAAACTCTTCTCACCCTTAATTGTTCTTAATGCTTTAACACACCGAGTGACTAATAGACACTAATTGGGCGGCTTTAGCAGTGAGAGCACGCAAGGAACATGGCTGGCTGCGCCCTCTGTGCCGAGCTGGTACTCTCCCAGCCGTATATCTGCCATCACATTACAAACATCATAAATCACCAGCAAAAAAAAAAAGCTAGACTAATTCTCTCTGTTGTCCCTCTGCAAAGAGAGGCACAGAGCCTGAACCCTGAGTGCAGCAAAGACAACTTGAGACAGAAGCAGACAGCTTCTCTGACCACTTTCATTACTTCCAAAACCATCACAACGCCACCCCTCAAAACCATCCCATCACAGCGCTGACTCACATCGCACGGCAGCCACTCGCTCAGGGACGTTTGGTTCCACTGCAGGTAGTTATGAGCTGTGCATTCTGGACCTGTCATTGAAGCTCCACAAGTGAGAGTCAGCTTCCACACAGAGCCTGACTGGATCCCCCCCGACAATCTAACTTTCCGAAAAAGGCTCCTTTGTGCCCAGAACATGCCATTCTCCATCACTCCCTCAACAACATCCCACAGCACAGGACCTCTCTCCAGGGGTGTTTAGCACAGGATTTGGGGAAGCACACACTTCACCGTTACTGCTGATGCAGGCAAAGCTCCACTCCTGCTCAACCCACTTTTACATGCTGGGTACCCCCTGCGTTGGGTTCTGGTTTAACCTTCTGACCTCAAGCAGACACAAGAAGACAAGTGATGGATGGGCACAGGGGGCAAAGTAACTTTCAGAGGATTTATGGGTAGCAGGATGGCACTGCTGGGGAAGAAGAAATGTGTTGTAACAAAAGGGCTCAGGGTTTTACTACCAGGTTATGAAGTTGGAACGGACTTGTGGATATTTGGCATAGGGCTGCAGTGGTCTAGTGAGTTATGAGCTTAGGGCCAAGAGTTAGAACTGTTGGGGTCTATTCCAGGTTTGCCACAGACTTGCTGTGTGACCTTGGGTGAGCCACTTAGTGTCACTGAGCCTCAGTTTTCACATCTGTAAAACGGGGATGCCATGGAGCCATCTTTGCAAAGCATCTTGAGATTCCCAGGGGCTTGCTAAGTATAATCATCATTATTGCACACCCCATGAGTGCAACACTAGCTAGCACAACTGGTACTATCTGCTCCAGACCAGCCTAAGATGTAACTAACAGGGAACAGAGCAAGACAGGGCTGGAAGGCTGGACCTCCTGGGTTGGGTCTAGTCGTCTGCTATGGCAGGCAACCCCACCATATAATCCTATTCATACATTTATCAAGTTCCTTCCTCAAAATAGTTGGGTTGTTTGCCCCCACTCTTCCTAGTGGGAGGTTGTTCCAGAACCTCCCTTCTCTAATAATGAGAAATCTTCTAATTTCCAGCCTACGGTTCTGCCTACACCACAGCCGATGTCACTCAGGGGTGTGAATATCCCCACCCCGAGTGACACACGTTACACCAACGTAAGCGCTCATGTGCACAGGGCTATGCTGCTCACAGAGGTGGGTTTTTACGGCAAGGGGAGAGCTCTCCCATCGGATAGAGCATCTGGTGAAGGTGTATATGTACAGCGTTGCACCGGCAGAGAGTATCAACACAGCTGAGTCACTGCAGCACTGTACTTATAGACGTGGCCTAAACGTATTCCTGGACAGTTTGTCCCCATTTGTTCTGGTGCCAGCATTGTCCTTTAGCGTCAATAGCTCCTCGCCCTCCCTGGGGTTTACCCCCAACGTGTTTATAGAGAGCAATCCGATCCCCTCCGAGCCTTCCCTTTGATAGGCTGAAGAAGCCAAGCTCCGTTAGTCTCCTCTGGTCAGCTCAGATCTCCACTGCCCCGATCATCCTAGCAGCCCTTCTCTGCACCTGCTCCACTCTGAATTCAGCTTTCTGGAAGTGGGGGGACCAGAAGTCCACACGGTTTTGCAGGTGAGAACTTGCCAGTGCCTTGTACAATGGCATTAGTATTCCCCTGTCTGTACTGGAAATGCATCTTCGGATCGCACTTACCTTCCTCACAGCTGCATCAGTCGTCCTGTGATTGACAAGTACACCCAGGTCTTTCTCCTTCTCTGTTGTTTCCAACTGAGAAACCCACAGCCTACAGCAGAAAGCCTTATTATAGGGCATGACTCTGCACGATTACATTTCATCCCAGGGTGTTGGGCTGGCAGATCATTCTGTTGGGGGATATGCCCTTGAGCAGACAGCCCCTCAAGGCCAGGCCCTTTGGCTCAGGGAGTCTGGAGGGGGTGTGGAGGCCTGGTCTGCATGCGCACAGGACCGGCTGTTCTTACCCGCACATGCTGAACTAGCAGCAGCACGGCTCCGGACTACATCTTACAGGCTGACAGGTCAGAGGCGGAAGGCAGCTGCCCGCTATCCAGGCTGCCAGCTCAGCCTCCTCTGCGACCCTGGGAGCACAGGGCGTTCACTGAAGTTGCACTGCAGTAGGAAATAGACTCAAGTCTTGTTACACAGGGGCTAAGCCTCCCTGGCCATGTTTTCTATAAATCTCCTGGAATTTATTATACGATAACTAGCCTGGAAAAGCTAAATTAAATCCACAGCCAAGAAACTGACTTTCAAGCGTGACCTAATTTACTTTCTTGAAGAAGGGGGAGGAGCTGAGGGGGAGGGATGGGGTAATACCTAGACGACCTCTCTTTGCAGCTGCTCACACCTTCCTCCTCCCCCTCCTCCTCCTCTCTGCAGCCTCACCAGCCACTTTGGGGATGGAGCTGCACAGCCTTTCATGTCTAAGAGGATCTAGCACTCCCACTCACCAGAACAAAAGCACCTCAAGGGCTCCCCTTTTAGATGTTTTTTCCTTCAAGAAGCACTTTCTTCCCAGGGGGTTCCATCACATTTCAGACTGACAGAGAGTATATTTGCCAAAGCTAAGTTACACTGTGTTCTCTCCTTGATCCAGGCTGTTTCTCCACCCCATTAACCCGATCTTCATGCAAAGCACCCAGCATCCTCACTTGAAGTTTGTGGCTTAGAAACCAATGCCCTCTTGCAAGGCCTCAAGCAAGAACAAGCCCCTCCGCCCCCCACATGAGAGGGGGTTGAAGGATAGCAAGGAAAACAAGACAGCGAAAATGTGGGTGGGGAGATGCTAGGGGTTTGGAGAGTAATGGAGTGTAATGCTCTAGAGCCCAGAGGTTTCCAGACTGTGGACCACGGAGGCCTGACTGGCCACATGCAGCCAGCTCCTTCTCCTTGTTTCCAGTGGCTAAGGCTAGGTCTTCACCACAAGAACAGGGACATTTTGACTCAATGGGAAAAACCAGAGAAGCCCAGACACAGGTTGATTTTACCTCAGTGTAGTTGAGATCAACCCTATACTCCCCACCTGGGGTGTTAACCTTGCCTACTTGGAGGTAACGACCACCTGAACCTCGCCTCCACTAGGGGAGAGCTCACTGGATGTCAAATACGCACCTATTGCTGCAGTGAATACCTAGCCTGAATCATAGTAAGAGACGCTACCTGTACATCAAACACTTCCCCCGGGTTATGATGTGACTGTAAACTGGAGGAGAGGGGGGTCCATTGGATGGCCCATGGAAGGGGAGGTGCCCACAAGACACTCAATCAAAGGCTGCCCTACACACCAGATGGAACCAAAATAGCTCAGCCACTAACTTGCTCTGGAATAGAAGTGACCTATTTCAGTGTTGCTTAAGTGGGTAAAAAACGACACAAGTTAAGTCAACGTAAGAGATTTATCTTGGGCCAAGACCAACCGCAAGAGTCTGGCACGGAAACACCATGTTGTGCGAGCTAAAATCCATTTATTATATGGTGCCAGGTTGTGTGCAGACCAGCCCTAAGATGTGCTCCCTGGGTGAAAAAGTCTGAGCATCCCCTGCTCTAAGCTTCCACCTCCATGGGATGCAAGTCTGGTGATCTGAGCCTACTCCCTTTGCCCAGTGACTGAGACACCTCTAAGCTTTGGTACAATTCAGAATGACTGGCAGCCTCTGCTCAGGAAACACTCACGACTGCAAGAACAGGGATGCAGGATACAAGCTAGGACTGAGGTGCATCAGCAGAGCTGTGTGTGGGGTGCCCTTGGACCACAATAGCTAGCGGGGCTGCGAGAGGACTGCAGTGTACTGGCAGAGTAAGAGTAGGGGTTAGGGCAGGAATAGCCGAGTGCTGCTGTTCTGGACCGAGGCGCACCGCCAGAGTTGTGTGTGGGAAGCTTGCATAACAATGCCTGCCCACACAACGCCTGCCTGTAGCCAGCGTGATCAGAACCTCACTTGCATGAGCAACATCATCCACCCAAAGTTTGGTAAGAGACTAAAAAGCTTCAAGGTGATATACAGAGCTCAGCATCCTTTGCTCCCTTCAGACTGATTAATGCAGCTAAGGAAATATGCCTGGGCAGCCTCTTCACAGAGGCAAGGCTTCTCTTTAATCTGTCTCTCACAGTGACCTCTGCCCCCAGCACAGGGATGAAGATTCTTAAAATCTCGTTCCTTATTTTACGATTTCACAGCATGCACTTGAGATTGACAAAAGAACGGAGAAATTAACGTGCAAAAATCAGCCACTGCAAGGCAGAGAGATGCACAAAAGCCAGCCTGCCGAGCCTCGTGCTCCTCGGATACACAGCAGCAGGCTAGCTGGGGAGGGCCAGGCTGTTCCCACCTCCCAAAAACAAAAGGGACCACGAACTCCTGCTGCCAAAAGGTTACACGGCTGTGATGGAACAGAGCCACTGGGTCTGGCTTTGGCTCTTCTGAGATGTCTACACTAGATTATTTTTTTTTTTAACCTGGGGGTGGCTGCAACTAGCTATGTCAATGTAAAAATTACCTGGTCTCTGCTAGGATTTCACAGTGAGATCACGATCTCCAAGTAAAGACACTTTTGGGGGGGGGGGGGCCACTAAAGACATAGCCACTTCGGCATCTAAGAGGCCCTTACAGCCAGCTCTCCAGATCACATCCTGTAAGGAAAGGCCACATTTCCAAACCCGGATGTGTGGTTTGCCTGGACAAACAGGCACAGTGGAGCAAAAGGGTCCTTCTGCATGTGCAATAGGTCGCCCCAAGCAAACAATTCAGACATTTCTGGAAAACCCACCCAAGACGTGACACAGGCCCAGCATCAGTACTCGGGGTGGACTGTGAAACAGGTCTTTGCAACTGGGGGCAGAGGGGAGGGGCAACCAATTCTGCTGCACTAAAGGTAATGAAAATGGACAGAAAACCCCTTTTGCTGGCATTAGGCGTCTTTTCCATCTGCCACCAGCTGAGGTCAGTGCTCTCAAAGTCACAACTTCCAGAGACCGTTCCACCCGGCCTTGCTCCATCTGTGATCCTGCTCCACCCCAACCACTAGGTCAGAAGCCCAGCTCTGCCTGGCCACACCACAATCCTCCCAGGACACAGCGCACTTCACTGCTATGCTTAAGGCTGGAAAGGAAAGATCCTGAGGGCTGGCCTAGGGGAGAAGGTAGCAGTAGTGTAACCGAAGGTGTGAATGTAAATCCATCTTGTTAAACTGGTGTAACTGAGCAACGAACGGGAGAGGGGAGATGAATTAAGGGGAGGGGGGATACCACAGTGAGAAGGGGCCATATACGTACTTCCACAGACACACAGGGGAAGGGGGCAGGGGGAGCTATGCCACAGGGAACAGAGACAGTATTTGACAGTGGATCTCACAGAGGGGCTGTGGACATAGAACGTTAGTTTTGCATTATGTATGTAATGGCACATGCACATTTGTGCGTGACGGTGCAGGGGTGTTTGCATATGGGTGCATGCACGCACCTTGGTAATTCCTCCTCTTTCTCAGTAAGATTTTCCAGGTCTGTACTTGGAACAAAGCTTCTCCCCAGGCTGAGAACTATCTACAACCAGCTGGGGAGACAGCAGCCAGCAGGATAAATGCCCCCTGGATGTGCCCTCATGTCTCATCCTCCCACCAGGACCTGAACACTGTCTCATGGGGCCAGATCCTTCCTGCAGTCTTTCCCCTGAAGGTTCCCACTGTCCAGCTCCCTTCACAAGGGGCTGGAACCAGGGCACCTGCATAAACGTGGATGTGAAGTCCCCCTTTACTGGAATGCTTGTGTAAGATTTCCCAGGGGAGTGCAGCACGCACACTCCTGCTCCCCACAGCACCTAGAAGGTAAAATCTCATGTCCCAGCTGTACAACACCCAGTTTCCCCCACCTCCATTCTGCTCCGCAGAAGAGTCTCACCTCCAAGGAGGGGCACCTCTCACTGAGGGCACTGTGGGTCTGGGCCTGGTGCCGTTAATTCACGAACTTTGCTGGCCCTCAGAATCGGAGGCAAGAGCCGTCAGGGTCTCCGTGGCAACTTCTGAACCTGAAAGAAAGAGAGAGGGAAACTCCAGATCCTGTTCCCATCCCAGTGTCCTCATCAGTAATAAAGGAGGGAGGAGGATGCAGACGGCAGAAAAGCTCAGTTGTTTCTAAATGGCACAGTTTCCATGTGGCAACAGACTTAATTAAGTCTCTTTTATTATTATTAGAATATGAGTGCCTCATGGGTAGCAAACCGCTCTGAATCCCACTTGCATTGGCCTGTGAGCAGAAATGCAACAGCCCCATCTACCCAGGGACACTTCCACCGCCTGAGATTGTGGGCCTACCATCCGCTTTTCTTGCCCTACAGGATGGTCCCAAGCAAAGCCCTGCATCATCTTTGAGCTTGTATCTCAGAAGATCCAAATGTAAACCACAGGTGCCTTCTGCCGCAGCCCTGGCCACTTGCTGCTCCTGGCCACTCACCCCTGGCTACAACACAGCATTAAGAATCCAGGAACCCAAGCTCCCACTGTGAATGGGAAGAGTCGGGGACCTCTGGCACGTGTGGTCACATCAGTGAAAGGAGAGAGACACATGATGCCCTATACAACCCTGCTACATAGGCCGCCCTGGAGAAGCACATTTCGCCCCTACCCTGCTGTCCCTGGGCACAAAGCAGGTTAACAGCAGACGCTTCATTCCAAGCACAAGCCTGCATAAGTCTGGGGGCTTAACATTCCCTGTGTTAACATCTCTGGCTCAGCCTCCAGGTCTGAAAGGGAGAAGCAGTGCCCTGCTCCCTAGCTCAGCCAGCCCCAGGAGTGCAAGTACCAAGGCAATTCCTCCCTTTGTAGGGCATGGATGGCACTCTTGGGCTGGATGTGTGGAGGGTGTCCCACAGAGCAGTGTTTGGGGGATTCTTGGCTGTGCTGCGGACACCAGAGAAAGGCATAGCATCTTTAAATCCCTCTGCCTGCCCATTTCTCCTCCTTTCTTTGAAAGCTGCAGCTTCATCCCACATTGATCGCGACAAGTTTGTTTTGTTTTTCGGGACCCAATGGAATGGAAAATAATTTAACAGCTTGTCCCGTATTATAATGGGACTTTTTCCCTTACTCCTCACTAGGAAGACCATCAATCACAGCACTGAATGGAATACATTCACCCCATGACCTCAGCCATGCAGTTCCCCCACCCCCCACCTGTGAATTATGGAGACCGCATCGCTCGGTGGGACAGGCTCAATGCTCCAGCTTCAAGCTGAAAGCAGAGATTTATCCCCTTGGCAGAATAGGGGGCAGAGGCCAGAAGATAAGTCACAGAAAAGCCGCAGGAGCCTCTCTCAAGGTCCTCCAAGGTTGGCTCATTAAAAAGCAAGGAAAGGAGAAGAAAATGCCCGCAGTGGCGCAGCTCACAAATAACCCTCCAGCTTTCAAATAAAAGAAAAGCTGAAAGGGAGCCTGGCACACCTGGGACGGGCTCTGCAGCAATGCCAGCTGAGCTCACCCGTGGAAACACCTGCTGGGAGGCCGTGCTGCAAAGAGCCTAGGCTGCAGAAGCTGTGAAATGGACAGCTCCCTGAGCACCCATCTCATCAGGGAGCCAGGAAATGACCCCATCAGTGCTCCTATGGGGGCTGCCACGCTCCATCTGGTGCAGCAGCGTGACAGCCCCCATCTTGCACTGCCTGCCGTGGCACTGGCGGAAGGGAAGAGAGAGGGGAACAGCCATTTCGTAGCCCAAGCAGCCCTTCGGACTCTAGCCAGGGGGCAGACGCAAAGCAGGGCAGGTGGAATCCACACACCACGCACAGTACCGCCTCTGCCATCTCGGAGGAGATGCTGGGAGAGCAGCTCCCTTCTTCCCCAGAGCTGCACAGCTCGCTCTCCTGCCCCCAGTGTTGCAAGGGCGAAGGGCAGGGTAATGGGAGCAGGTGTTGCCTTGGGTGGAAACTGTTCATCATACACAGTACCAGCTGTTCAGCAGGCCCAGGAGAAGGCAGATCCCACTGACTATGGCACAAAAGGCAGCATCCCTCCCTCAGTGGTCATGCCCACCCCTCCTTCCCCAGAAGACCCTGACACAGCTGCCAGAGTAGAACCCACACCCCCAGGAACAGGCAGGGACCAGTTCTGTGGGATTCACCCCTCATGGTCCATAACAGGAGTAGGAACAGTAGGGCTGCTGCCTGCAAGCCTGTGCTGCACCCAATCCCTAACCAGCAGCTGTACCATGCGGGGGGCTGGTGGGATTCTTCCCTTCTTCCTCCTGCAGCAGCTGAGCTATTGGCCTGGGCTGAAGCCCCTCCTGGGAGACTGGCGCAGTCTTGAAGGGCAGCGTGTGGCCTGCTATGCACAATCGTGTTCCCTGGCTAAATAATTAAGCCTCTGACTGGGAACCGGAGGGGCTTGGTAATTGAAGTAACCTCAGGCCGCGGAGGTTCCATATGGCCGGAGCGAAGCAATGCAGCCCCCAGCACCGGCGCTGGCCCAGCTCCCAGCAGGAGGCAGTGGGACACGGAAGTGCTGGGCAGCAGAAGGGAACAAACTCGCTCTCCAAGTGGGGGCAGCTTTGCTCTTCATGTCTCTCTCCATCCCCAACTGCCAGGCTCTGTGCCCTCCTCGCCCCAGCTAGGATGGGGTCTGGCTTGGGAAACGGCACTTACTTGGCTGCATGGGGGTGGAGAGAAGCTGCTGGTGGACCGCCCCAGGCTGCCTGCCCCATGCACTCTCACATGCAGCAATGGGCCCCCCCAGACCCGTTCCACACCACACACACCCAGAAATCCAAAGAAAGAATGCAGACAGGGTGCTGGTACCCCAGGGCTCTTCCCCAACCCCCAGGAGCCAAGGAGAGAGGGCCCTGGACCTGTAGGGAGCCTGGAAGGAAGAGCCGGAGGCACAGGCAAAACGAGAACAGGGATACACCATCAGGAGCGGAGGGGAGCCTGGACAGAGATGCTGACACTCGGCCAGACACCAGGCCAGGCCCAACAGGAGGGCCACTGGAAAGAGCCTGCTCAGATGGTGACTCCAGCAGAAGATGGCCAGACAGCTCAACCACCCGAGGCCCCACTCCTCCAGCAACCACCAACCTGGGGGCAGTTCTAGAATTCCCACCCCCAAGGACCGCAGCAAGGAGCCTGCAATAGCAAAGGTAAGGCGGACACCCATCCTGTTACCCCCGCAGCATGGCTCATCGGCTGCCATGACAGTCACAGGCAGATTCCCATCAGCCACTCCAGGAACAGCTGTTTACAAAGTCATCAGCAAGTAAAATCCATCTGCCCATTCCCAGACAGAGCATTGTCTTGTCTGGCCTGCACTCCTCACCAGCCAGGAAAGGGAACAATGGGCAGTACCTGCTACAAGAGGATCCTTCTTCAGAGGGGTTAAAGCAGTTTACACACAGCTGGCCTCCCACTGAAAGACAGGAGCCTATGGAGAGGGGAAGTGACTGGGCCGAGGTTATAAAGTCACCAGCAGAGGTTGGAATGGAACCCAGGAGTCCTGGTTCTCTGTTCCCTGTTCTGATCATTAGTTAACACTGCCTATGGCAGCCAGCCCTCCCCCTGCTACATGCATTGGTTATCCACCAACCTGCCAGGCTGCTCTTTCTCTCCCCATAGCTTGCTCCAGCCCTACAGTGGTTTAATATGTGCTGTAATGAAGAAGCCAGCAAACTTGGAAACTTTTAGGTGCTTTCCAAGAACGAGAACAAAGCAGCAAATTCATGTATTTCTTCTCAGTGTTCAAATCCCAGAACGTCCCCTGCCCTGCGATCCCGCCGCACAATTCAGTCACAGAGTCTCTTCACATGAACAGGAAATTGCTCCTGGAGGAAGCTGTGCCCACGGGGCCCTGTAGACAGGAGGGAGGCCGCAGGGAAGCCCTGCTGGGCGGAAGGGTGATGCTAAGCCTGTCGGTGGAGGGAACGGATCTATCCTGATCCTGAAGCCATTCTCTGCTTTACAATAACTAATTAGCCAGGGTGAAAGGTTACAGCAGGAACTCCCAACCCTGCTCCCCCTCATAGCCCTTTCCAAGCCCTCACTAATTAAGAACCATCTTCTGCTCATCACACGCTGAACTCAGTCACCCATCCCTGCCTGGCAGCATCAGAATCCACCACTGTCACTGAACCCGGGCAGCCTCTTTTCCCTGGACTTGGGGCAAATGCACTAAACAGCACCAGTCCTCTCCTAAATGTGCTATCACAGACTGAATAACCCACATGAGCTCTGACCATGACATAACACATGGGGGCGGGGCGGGGGGGGGGGAGGGGAGGGAGGTGTTGGACTGAAAGATACAAACACAGACCCTGGAATCCCCACTCCTGGATTTAGCACCAGGGAACCTAGATTCCTGCCACAGCATCCAATCAAAACTCACCACCCAGCACAAGGACACTGGGCAGAGTAGGCTGCTGCCCTCCCGGGAATGAAGAACCTCAAGAAGTTCTCCGGCACTGCACAAAGCCAAGCTCCACTGCAGAAAGTGTTAATGTTTCCATCCCACTGCAGAACACATGACACACAACCCAGAGAAAGAACAAACCTGGGAAGTAACTTTGTACTAACAAAAAGCTGTGACCTGCCCAAACTCACTGGAATTCCCCTTCACCTAACGACACCCCCTCCTAGTCTGCCTACTCCTGATTAACATGCACAGCGAGGTGGCAGCTTGGTGAGAGCTTCCAGCTTCACCAAAGCTCACTCCTCCCTCCGCCCCCACACTCCATGCCTCTCATCCAGCCCCCTCCATCAGATCCACCTTTGAAGTCAATTTGTCATGGCCCAGTTTTCTAAACCACTCTGCAGAGAAGCCCATTTGCTGTTCTCCCTTAAATTAATCTGTTTGTGGCTCCTCTTCCCTCTCCCTCTGATTAATTTTAAGTTACAAGAAACTAGCTCCAAGTTCTGGGTTAAATGGGGATTCAATTGTTTGAGATTTTTAGAGGGGTTTTTGATCACACATCAAGCTTTTCTTGTCAATATCTCACACAGCTGCTGTTAATCACCAAGAAAACCACAAACCCATATGCTGGGCTCTGAGC